ACTTGTTTCATATTCTATCGTGTTTACAAAATATATTATATTTTGATTTATAGACTTAATAATAATATTTCATATCATTTATCAAGTCTATAAATCTATTGGAAAGTTTTTAAAATTTGATTGAACTCATTTTGTCAAAATCAAGTTCTTAACAAGTTCATGTTCGTGCATATTTTTACAAAATAGATAAGTTTTCACAAATGGGAAATAAAAGTTAAAAAATTCTTTTTCTAACATGTTATCTTACATGTTTATAACCATTTTCAAAAATTTTATCATTTTTAGAGTTTAATTTGTATGTCAAATTGATTTTACAAAATCGGGTGTTTCAGCAGTTTTTAGAATCTAGAATATCTGTGTTCAAACATTTATTTCTTATAAATGAGAGGTGATATTTCTGAAATTATTTCTCTAAAATGTTAATCTACATTTATAGAAACGTCTCTTAAAATTTCATAATTTTTAGAGTTGATTTACTATTTTTAATGTATTTTACAAATCCAGCTACGCAAAAATTCCAGATCTACCGATACTATTCAAACCTGATGAGTCGACCCATAAATGCATGAGTCGACCCATGAACAGTGCATGAGTCGACCCATTAGATATTTTTTGCCTATAACGGCTAGTTTATGAGTCGACTCATGAACAGTACCGAGTCGACTCATAACATTGTAACGGATAGTTTTTCCAGATTTTTATATATCCGTTATTTTGTCTTTTTGCTTAGTTTTCTTGGGTTTTTGGGGGTTGTTTCTTCATCCTATATATACCCCCTTATACCTTAATTCTATATGGGTGACGCCCCTGGTTTCAACAAGGCTGCAGTCTAAGGTGAAACCAAGAATGTCAAACTTGTCATGCACCACACCTAAATATCTATCTAGTGGAATCAATAACCTGTGTAGGTACAAAACAAGCAAAAGAGAAAATATAGAAGAAATATGAAACAATAGATACTCTGAAGAAAAGTCATCATCACTGACATAAATGAATAAATCTCTGAGAAGAAAACATCTGAACTGATACAACTGTCTCGACATAAGAATCAAATGAAATGTCATTTAGGCACCTCGCCTTTACAAAACTAAAAATAACATCTCAATGTTCAAAAACAAAATCATCGTGAAGTCCTAACAATAAACTGCTAATAATATCTATAAATAGTTGCTAAAATAAGTCCATCAAGCTACGGCTCTCCGTGCACCTGGCTCGTTACCTGAAAGTGAGGAAACAACGAGCGTCAAAGCGCTATAGCGAATAACATCTCAACCGACCCTAACGGGAAGGGCTAGTTGGATAGAAAATAATTGTTAATATATATAGATAGTCAATCATAAACTCTGAAATAAAATGGAAGTTTGATATTTAGGAATTTACAATATGTGCGTGGGTAACTCACAATCCCTTAAGCTCATATTATAAATAGCTAACTATCAAATCCAAACTACAACGTGGAGTAATGACTCCATCTCCAACCATACCATAAATAATCTGTCATACATCAAATATGAAATCCTGAAATAGCTTAAGGTCCAACACGAGGACTATAGTAGATTATAGTCCAACACGAGGACTGTAGTGGATTATAGTACAACACGAGGACTTAAATGATTTATAGTTCCTCACAAGGACTTCAATAGCTCACAGTCCAATACTAGAACTTCAGTAGCTCATAGTCCATCACAAGCACTTCAATAGCTCATAGTCCAACACGAGGACTTTAATAGTTTATAGTCCGACACAAGGACTCTCATAACTTATAGTCCAACACGAGAACTGCAACATGTGAATGATGTCAAACAAACATATATACTGTTCACCCTCATACCCCGGTGAATAAATCTAAGACCCTTGTCTGTAGTTAACTCATGTGCATGATTCTTAGGGTATATCGAACCCATATAACACAGATATTATGCCAACCACACAACTCTAAGCACAACAGGACAAAAGCAGAAAAATCCCCAGCGATCGACTGTCGCGGTCGATCGTGACTGGAGCAGAAGCTTACTGCTTCTGTGCACGACACGCGGTCGACCGCCACGGTCGATCACGTAAAAGCAGAAACCCTAGTTTAGGTTTCTATTCTACGTGGTTTGATCCAAAATCTTTCGTGCAATGACTATATACATTATTAATCCTTCATAAGTGATTTAGCATAACCAGAACATGTGAAAATTTCAGTCTAATCATTATCGATAGAACGAATCAAATTTTAAACATGTAAATTTCGTGTTGAAAACTTTGAAAACAAATATCTTTCTTGCAAAGCTTTTGTTAGACATAAACTCAGATCTAGATCTGTATTAAGAATTCCATGGGTGAGCTTTATTAACTGAAAACTCGTTCTCTTTGCAAAATACAACATATAGATCTATTTTTATACAAAAACTAGCATGTTAGGCTCACAAAATACATGAAAAACATTATTAAAACATAAAAAAATGGGTATAGGGTTAGGCGAGATGAAACTCACCTGAGAGGTGATGAACTACTGTGGGTAAGGTCGTGAGAAGGTTCTCCTCTGCTGAACGCCGCTGGATCTCGCTGGAACTCCCAAAACTCGTCGAGAAACACCCAAAAATTAGGGTTAGGGTTTGCAAGAGGGTAGGGGGAGGCTGCTAGGGTTTTCTGAGATGATGAGGAGGCTCTCACAAATGAAATAATATATATATGAGCCCACCAACCCGACCCAAAAACCAAAACTGACCCGAAACAGGAAAACTGGCAAAACTTCCAGCGGTCGACCGCCACGGTCAACTACGCAAGATGCAGAGATCTCCTGCTATAACTGTGCACGCGGCGGTGGACCACCACGGTCGACCGCCACGGTCGATCGTGTAGGTTTTCTCCTGTTTGTGTATGTTATGTGTTTGTTGGTCTTGACATTCGATTCCTCTCACATAAATATACTTGTTTGATCCCCTAAACACTTGTTATCATACTCATCTATGATGTGAACATATATTTCATAATAAAAACTCATTAATCAAATTCTACGGGGTTTTACATTCTCCCCCCTTAAAAGAATTTCATCCTCGAAATTCCGAAATCGCATTTCAAACATTAATAATCTAATCTGAGAAAATCACGTTATCTCATAACATAGATTTCTAGATAGTACTATTTAAAGTTAACAACTTAGAATGCAAATATTCACACCTTAATCCTTAACTAAATGAAATTACTACATTGAGCGAAATAATCCAAACAAGAAAACCCTCATGTATATACCATATATTTTTCAAATGATTAAGGACTAGGTGACAATACCCCCATTCTAGTGTTAAAGATGAATATAACTATCTCAAAATCATCATAAATCATAAGAAAACAAAATCTAAACAATTTACAGCTCAAACAGGTGTGGGTAGTCACGACGCATATCCTCCTCGCGCTCCCAAAAAATCTCCTCAGATCCTCTCCGGTTTCATTTGACTTTCACCAAAGGAATCACTTTATTTCTAAGCTTATTGTCCTCTCTAGAAAGTATACAAACTGGGATCTCAATCGTAGTTAAATCATCCTGAAGCTCGATCTCCGGAGCATCTAATACTCGCTGTCTCTCCTCATCATGAAGGTGCTTCCTAAGCATAGAAATGTGAAATACGTCGTGCACACTAGACATCAATACTGGAAGATCTAGTCTATAAGAAACAGCCCCAATACGCTCAATAATCCGAAAAGGGCCAATAAATCTCCGGGCAAGCTTTTCCCGTCTGCCAAATTGCTGCACACCCTTCATCGGTGATATCTTCAGCATAACATAATCTCCCACCTGAAACTCTAAAGGTCACCGTCTATGATCTGCGTAGCTCTTCTGTCGACTCTGAGCGGCTAGAATATGCTCCCTAATCAATGCTACCTTTTCGGTAGTCTGCCTTACCAGCTCTGGTCCAAGCAACAAGCTATCCTCCGGCTTTGCCCAATATATAGGGGATCTACAAGGCCTCCCGTACAGTGCCTCATACGGAACCATACCAATCGTCGCTTGATAACTATTGTTATAAGCGAACTCTACAACAGAATATGATCCTCCCATCTGCCCTGGAAATCATTAACACAAGCCCGTAGCATATCCTCCAACACCTGGTTCACACTCTCTGTCTGACCATCCATCTGAGGGTGAAATATACTGCTGTGCAATAATCTACTGCCGAATGAATTCTGGAAACTCCTCCAAAAGTACGAGGTGAATACTGATCCTCAGTCTGACACACTCGTGTCTGGAACTCCGTGCAGTCGAACTATCTCCCGAATAAATATCCTCGTATATGCCTCGGTGGTATAAGTGGTCCTCACTGGAATAAAATGTGTTGACTTCAACCGATCCACTATCACCCAAACTGAATCGTTCTCCTTCTTCGACTTTGGCAACCCCACAATGAAGTCCATAGAAATGTCCGCTCACTTCCACTCTGGAATGGGTAAAGGCTAAAGTGTCCCTGCTGGTCTCTGGTGCTCTACCTTTACTTGTTGACAGGTGAAACACTTAGCCACATAATCTGTAATGTCTCTACGCATACCACTCCACCAGAAATATCTTCTCAAGTCTTTGTACATCTTGGTGGTTCCTGGATGCACTGTATATCGGGTATGATGTGCTTTATCAAACAACTCATTCTTCAACTCTACACTAGATGGCATAACTAATCGACCCTTCATTCGAACGCCTCCATCTACTCCAATAGTCCAATCATCCTTGGGCTCTTGGAAATCTCATCCTTTCGGATTTGAATCCAAGAGTCCTCTAACTGAGCTCTGACTACTCTGTCCCTCCAAGATGGCTGCACTGATATAGCTCCCAAATATGTGTTGGTCCCGCCATGCTCTGGCCTAAAGTCGAACTGGCTAAGAGTGAGAAGATCTCTATACAATGAGCACCTCAAAGTCGCAACCTGATGTCGACGCTTCCTACTCAAAGCATCTGCTACGATGTTCGCCTTTCCCGGATGATACTGAATCGTAAACTCATAGTCCTTGATGAACTCAATCCATTACCGCTTCATCTGATTAAGTTCCTTCTGGGAGAAAAGGTACATCAAACTCTGATGGTTTGTGAAAAGCTCGAACTGCACTCCATATAAGTAGTGTCTCCACGCCTTCAGTGCGAATACAACCGCTGCTAACTCTAAATCATGAGTGGGGTAGTTCTGTTCATGAACTCTTAACTGCCATGTGATGTATGCTACTACCTTCTGAGTCTGCATCAGAACACCTCCCAAACCTGTTAACGATGTGTCCGTGTACACAACAAATGTCCTATCACTGCTCGGAATAGTAAGAACTGACGCTGTAGTCAACTTAGCCTTCAATGTATCAAAAGCCTTCTGGCACTTCATGCTCCAAGAAAACTGTACACCCTTCTTTGTAAGGCGTGTAAGGGGCATCGTAATCTTCAAGAAGTCCTGAATAAATTTCCTGTAATATCCAACCAATCCCAAAAAGCTACGAATCTTGGTAACCGTTTTCGGCGGTTCCCAATCAAGTACTGCTGAAACCTTAGCTAGGTCTACTGCTATGCCCTCTCTGCTGACAATATGGCCAAGAAACCTGATCTTAGAAATCCAAAACTCACACTTGTTGAACTTAGCATATAGCTGATGTTCACGTAAGGTCTGCAAAGCCAAACATAGATGCTGCTCGTGCTCCGACTCCGATCTCAAATAGATAAGAATATCATTAATGAACACAATCACGAACTGGTCCAAAAATGGATGAAAGACCCGGTTCATCAAATCCATGAATACCGTGGGCGTATTGGTCAACCCAAATGGCATAACAAAAAACTCGAAGGACCCATATCGAGTCAGAAAGATGGTCTTGGGAATATCCATCTCCTGGACCCGTAACTGATGATAACCAGAACGAAGATCAATCTTCAAGAAATACTACACTCCCTGTAGCTGATCGAACAAGTCATCAATCCGAGGCAAAGGATATATCTTCCGAATAGTGACATTGTTCAACTCACGGTAGTCGATACGCAATCGCATGCTACCATCATTCTTCTTCACGAAGAGTATCGGCGCTCCCCACGGAGAATGATTCTGACGAATAAAGCCTTGAACTAACAACTCATCCAATTGGGTTTGTAGCTCTCTCATCTTAGCAGGTGCCATGCGATAGGGTGCTCGGGATATCGGGGCTGTGCCCGGCTGCAACTCAATATAGAACTCAACCTCTCTCACAGGAGATAACCCAGGTATGTCCTGAAAGACATCCTGAAAATCTAAGACAACTCTAGTCTCGCATATATCCACACTCTGATCCTGAACCATCACCTCCTCGATGTACGCTAGTAATGACTCCGCAAACTGGTTCCCCTGAGAGGTTGCCACAACTAACTCGGACCCATCGGACGCTCGCAACTTAACTATTTTTACAAAATAGTAGATACTTACGTGGTAGGAAGATAGCCAATCCATACCACGAATATCATCAAACTCTGGCATGCTCAACACTATCAGGTTGACAACAAAGTCAGACTCATCTAAACTGACAATACACTTCCTACAAATGCTCTCCAAGAGCGACATCTCACCTAGAGGGGTGGAAACTGATAAAGGAATATCTAGAGTCTGAGCTACGAGCTGAAGTCTACTCATAAAAGTATAAGATATGAAAGAGTGAGAAGCTTCCGAATCGAAAAGAATACGGGCTGGAAAGGAGTTCACAGAGAACGTACCCTCCACTATGGCCCCGCTCACACCATGATCGCGAGGAACTACTGCATACACTCTGCCCGTGGCTAGAAGCTGCTCTGCTGCTGGAGGTGGGGTATATTGGACTACCTACCCCTGAAGGACCTCCTGAACTGTACGAACCTGCCCCTCAATCATAGGAACTGCTGGCGGTGCCTCAAGTCTCACCTGCTGATCCTGACCTCGGCCCTGGAATCTGCCCTGCTGCTGATTCTGCCCTCTCCCTTGCTGGGCTCCTGCTGGTGCACTACGACACTCTAATGCTTTGTGGCCAGTTTTGTGACACTTAAAACAAGTGCTCTGGAACTTGCACTGCAGGAGGTGCTCTCTGCTTATTCTGGGGTCCTCTCTTATGAGAGCCTTGCTGCTACTGCTGGGGTCCTGAAGGCCTCTTATTCTTGCCCTTTTCCTTGCTGTTCCCCTCCTTGTCCTTCTGGAACATGGCTGACTCATTCTCCTGAGAGATGGCAGCATCTGCTACCTCTCGAACTGAATAAAACCTCCTAGAAGCGAGGTATCGATGAAGGCTGGGGCGAAGTCCTACTAGAAACATCTGAGCCTGGCACCCTCCGGTCTGCCACATGCCCGTGAAATAAAGTAGACTAATAAATCTGCTCTCAAAATCCACTACTGATATGTCTCCTTGAGTCAATCTGGATAACTCAAGCTCTTTCTCGGCCCGTGCCGTGGAAGAGATAAACTGCTCATCAAAGAAATAAGTGAAGTCCTCCCAGGTGAGTGTCATCCTTTGATCTGGAGTGAACTGTAACCGATACCATCTCCCTGCATCTCCCTTGAGACTGTAAGATGCCAGCCTCTGCTTCTGAACCGATGTCACATTCAGTATCTCAAGAATGTTGCTCACATCCTCCTTCCACTTATGCGCTGCCAGTGAATCTGATGATCCCTGAAACTCCGATGCTCTCATCTTCTGGTATCTCTTCACCAGACGGAGCCAAGTCTCCTGCTCCGTTGATCTATCCACAACTGCTTGCGGGGTAGGTGCTGGTGTGTTCCCCTGTAAACCCTCCACAACTAGAAAAGCTGGTACAACCGATGGTGGAACTACTGGTGGTGGTAGGGTGATGTGACTCGTCACAAGCTCCTCAAGAGCTGCCATCCTAGCGGCTAGAACTACTGGTGGTGGTAGGGTGATGTGACTCGTCACAAGCTCCTCAAGAGCTGCCATCCTAGCGGCTATGGGAGGCATCATATCTATCAGGTATTGGGGAGCCTGCTACGGCTCGAGTGAAGTCTACTACTGTGCTGGTGGAGCCTGCTGTGGCTCTGCCTGACCACCTCTCCGAGTACGAGGTCTACCGCGTCCTGCCATCTGAGCACATAGAAGAAGGTTTATGAGTCCTCAAACAAAACATATAATGATTTCACGTCATATATTATTCACACAAATACTTTTAATATCAGGAAAAAAATATTCGTGATTTTTGAATACGCGTATGTAATGTCCTCACTCGTACTAGAAATTCTTAGCGGACTCTATACATGAATCCTAAGAAACTCTATTCTAACTCCACGACTCGATATAGGATGATCCTAAGGATACTGAAACTAGAGCTCTGATACCAACTGTGACGCCCCTGGTTTTAATTAAGAAGGCTACAGTCTAAGGTGAAACCAATAATGTCAAACCTACCATGCACCACACCATACAATAACATGTTTCACCATCACATTAAACATCTATCTAGTAGAATCAATAACTGGTGTAGGTACAAAACAAGCAAAAGAGAAAATACAGAAGAAGTATGAAACAACAGATACTCTGAAGAAAAGTCATCATCACTGACATAAATGAATAAATCTCTGAGAAGAAAACATCTGAACTGATACAATTGTCTCAACATAAGAATCAAATGAAATGACATTTAGGCACCTCGCCTTTACAAAACTAGAAATAACATCTCAATGTTCAAAAACAAAATCATTGTGGAGTCCTAACAATAAACTGCTAATAATATCTATAAATAGTTGCTAAAATAAGTCCATCAAGCTACGGCTCTTCGTGCACCTGGCTCGTTACCTGAAAGTGGGGAAACAACGAGTGTCAAAGCGCTATAGCGAGTAAAATCTCAACTAACCCTAAGGGGAAGGGCTAGTTGGATAGAAAATAACTGTTAATACATATAGATAGTTAATCATAAACTCTAAAATAAAATAAAAGTTTGATATTTAGGAATTTACAACATGTGCGTGGGTAACACACAATCCCTTAAGCTCATATTGTAAATAGCTAACTATCAAATCCAAACTATAACGTAGAGTAATGACTCCATCTCCAACCATACCATAAATAATTTTTCATACGTTAAATATAAAATCCTAAAATAGCTTAAGGTCTAACACCAGGACTGTAGTAGATTATAGTCCAACACGAGGACTTAAATAGTTTATAGTCCCTCACAAGGACTTCAATAGCTCACAGTCTAACACGAGGACTTCAACAGCTCATAGTTCCTCACAAGGACTTCAATAGCTCACAGTCCAACATGAAGACTTTAATAGTTTATAGTCCGACACAAGGACTCTCATAACTTATAGTCCAATATGAGGACTGCAACATGTGAATGATGACAAATAAACATATATACTGTTCACCCTCATACCCCGGTGAATAAATCTAAGACTCATGTCTGTATTCAACTCATGTACACGATTCTTAGGGTATATCGAACCCATATAACATAGATATTATGCCAGCCACACAACTCTAAGCATAATAGGACAAAAGCAGAAAAATCCCCAGCGGTCGACCGTCGTGGTCGACTGCCATGGTCGACCGCGACTGGAGAAGAAACTTACTGCTTCTTTGCACGACACGCGATCAACAGCCACGGTCCACCACGTAAAAGCAGAAACCCTAGTTTAGGTTTCTGTTCTATGTGGTTTGATCCAAAATCTTTCGTGCGATGATTATATACATTATTAATCCTTCATAAGTGATTTAGCATAACCTGAATATGTGAAAATTTCAGTCTAATCATTATCGCTAGAACGAATCAAATTTAAAACATGTAAATTTCGTGTCAAAAACTTCAAAAACAAATATCTTTCTTGCAAAGCTTTTGTTAGACATAAACTCAGATCTAGATCTGTATTAAGAATTTTATGGGTGAGCTTTATTAACTGAAAACTCGTTCTCTTTGTAAAATACAACATATAGATCTATTTTAATATAAAAACTAGCATGTTAGGCTCACAAAACACATGAAAAACATTATTAAAACATCAAAAAATGGGTATAGGGTTGGACGAGATGAAACTCGCCTGAGAGGTAATGAACTACTGTGGGTAAGGTTGTGAGAAAGTTCTCCTTCGCTGAACGCCGTTGGATCTCGCTCGAACTCCCAAAACTCGCCGAGAAACGCCCAAAAATTAGGGTTAGGGTTTGCAAGAGGGTAGGGGGAGGCTGCTAGGATTCTCTGAGATGATGAGGAGGCTCTCACAAATAAAATAATATATATATATGAGCTCTCCAACCCGACCCAAAAACCCAAACTGACCCGAAATAGGAAAACTGGCAAAACTCCCAGCGGTCGACCACCACGGTCGACCGCGCAAGATGCAGAGGCCTCCTACCACAACTGCGCATGCGACGGTCGACCGCGTAGGTTTTCTCCTGTTTGTGCATGTTGTGTGTGTGCTGGTCTTGACACTCGATTCCTCTCATATAAATATACTTGTTTGATCCCCCAAACACTTGTTATCATACTCATCTATGATGTGGACATATATTTCATAATAAAAACTCATTAATCAAATTCTATGGGGTTTTACAATATGCATCCATGGAAAAAATTTAAAAGAGTTTAACAAGGGTTTAAGCTTGTTTTGTGTTTGTTTAAAAGAGTGTTTAAGAGTTTGTTTGTGAAGAGAATTTCACAAGAGTTTGAGGAGATCATCAATCTTGTTTGGGCTTCAATCTACATCCCTCCACTTTTGTTTTAGAGACGTTTTCTTAAACCCTTTATCTAGATTGTTTATGCTTAATTTGTCAAATTTATTTTGTTAGATTATATTGA